CTCAAGGTCTGGATCCGCCACTGGCACGTATTCGCAGGAGGTCGCAAGTTGGACTTGTGAGGAGAGAAAATCAGATCATTTAGTTTATTTTACGTATTTGCTTTTGCTGGTTAAAAAAATAGAAATCCAACGTAGATGTATTTGTTTTAGCTCGTTTTGCATTTCTAAGTTACCGGTTACTGTTACAGTTCATTAGTCATAACAAATACAGTACCCGCTGTTTTGTTGTAAGATCATAGTTGGTGTTGAAATGTGATTACAACAACAACAACAAGAAAACGGTCATTTGAGTGTCTGGGGGTATTTAGCATTGCTGTTAATTGGGGACACAACATAAAGAATTATAAATGTGAAAGTAAATAAGTAAATATGTAGAAATTGTACAACCTCGTTCCCAGGGTCTCTCATCTTACCGCCCCCTGGAGCTCCAGGGGGCGGTAAGATGAGAGACCCTGGGAACGAGGTTGGAAATTGTACAGATATTTTAAAATGTATCCTACAAATTATTATAATACAAGATTAACTACAATTTGGAATATCTGGAATTCTTCTAGAAATCAAGTCAAGCTAAACATAGTCTTTTGTTAAACTGTTATCTACCTGTATTGTTTTGAAAGTTATTAACGAGGTAAACGATCAATTTCATTATAGCCAATCAAGCATTCAGAAATGTATGATAATGTCTAGTTAAGACTTAACGTAATCTTTTAGAATTGTGTTTTGGCTTGGTAGTGCCTTGTAAAATATTGTTTGGGTTACATTCCAGACATATTCTGGTAATATTCTAATCATGTTCTGAGTATGTTTGATTAAACCCTGCTGTTGGAGCCAAGTAACTGCGTATTCTCTGTCGTCCCGTTGGATTAATATTGTTTTGCTGTAATAGATCCCAAAACCTCTAGGAGTCTGAGAAACTCCGTCGCTGCAAGCGTGTTTCCCTCTGGATTGCTGTAACAACAGGTAACAAGGAGAACAGCTAAACAGTCCCAAAAACCTGTTGTCACGTAAAAACTTTCTTTGGGTGGCCAAACGGACTCTCAAGTTTCCTCGCAAGTACATCTGAAAGTCGCAAAAAAAAAGAAGAAGAAAATTCAATGCAGACATATCCTGTATTTCCCTGGCTAATAGGTTGCTATAATAACGAATGGACCTCACTCAACCTGCGTTGACTTTGGCTGGGCCGGTGGCCAAACGATGAAAAACTTGACTTGCGTGCAAATTTTATCTCGACCAAAATGAGTGCAAGTCATTGCAAGTTCACGTAAGGCCTGGCCAAGTAGACCCAAGGTTTTCAACTTGCGTCTACTAGGGTTGGATTCATTATGCTCGACATGATTTGAGCAATATGCTTTTGAGTGTCACCATCAAAACAACAGCATTATGCCCAAAATTATGTTCGAGAAGTAGCATTATGCTCGACTGAAGGGTCTGATCGCGGTTGGGAGGGCCAAGAAGGGGGTTGAGATGAAGTGGCCGAGTGGGGAATGGTTTGTTCCCTCACCTCTCTTCTCTTCTCTTTTTTCCCGCTTTCTCTTCGCCCCATCCTCGACTGGAGAGCCTGTTCACAGGCTAGATATATAAACGTAAATCAAACGCTTGGGCTACCTGTGATCTGTCGGTTGTCAGTTTACAGTTTCGTTTGAAAACCTCAGCATCGCCACTTGACATTTGACTGATGTTAAAGAACAAACATTGAATATTTTTGAAGAAAACTGTTGTTGGAAATTCTTGATGGAAAAACTCGGTAAACATTTAATTTGCACGTACTTGGAATAAAATTTCCTCAAAGAGAACGTTTTTTCCGTTAAGTTTCGTATTTGGTGTCATTTTTAATTGGAATGGTTATCTTTATTTAGGTTCAATGTAATGACCAGGTGAATTGCTAAAATGTTTTTTTAGGGCCTGTTTACAAGGAGGGAGGGTTACCCTAACAAGCGGGTTACCCTAGCACTCACAAATTTCCTCTTTTTTCTTCGTCGTGTTTACAAGGCAGCGAGGGTTACACGGGTAGGCGGGTTACCCTATCTGCGTACTAGGGTTACCCTGGCAGGCGGATTAACCTTTTCCCTTGTAAACACTCCAGGTAGGGTTAACCCGCCTACCCGGGTTAACTTTCTAATTGTTTTCAGACCTTTTGAGTGTAACTGCGCATTAAGTTGTCCCGGGTTGTAGGGTTACCCTACCTGTAAAAGTTTGCTTGTAAACCCGGGCTATCTTTTGCCCTCCAGCTAGGGTTAACTCGCTTGCTAGGGTAATCCTCCCTCCTTGTAAACAGGCCCTTACCCGACCATTTTACCTGGCATAATTTATTGTTATTGACGGTATATTTTATTCTTAATGTAAAGTTAGTACTATTTTCCTCGATGTAAAAACACTGCAAACCTTATTCCTTTAGTGAAGATTACAGCTGGACAATTTTAGCTTATACTAAATATCTCCTAGTAACACGCTAATCGAAAAAGGAAAGGTGTTATTCGCGGAAAACTGTTTAGCAGTCGGTTTCGTTCAAAAGGACTTTGTACGTACGTTAACACGTACGTTAGCACCTATGACACCTATGTGAATTAATTCCTGTTATTGAAACTACCGATTACTTAAATATTAAAATATGGAAAAAAGCGTAACCACTAGGGCCGCCTTTCTTCTTCAATAAGTAAACGTGAGTTGTTGTTTGATAACGATTGCACAACAATTTTTATTCGAGTTTTTCTATACATTGCTGTAACGTATATTTTCATTCAATTCTGTTAGGACCATTCTTGTAATTTTTGTATTGCTCTCGTTGTTTTATTTTGGCCAGACTTTCTTGGAACCATAAAGAAATGTGAAATGAAAAAGATTTCGTCTCTGGTATTCGGTCGAAGGAAAATATGGTAAAGATTCTCGTGCGCAAGCGTAGTGCTAGGCGTGGAATGCGCAAGTCCTTACGCAAGCCTAGATGTCAGTTTGATACATGATTGACAAGTGTCGACCGGTTCGGAATAAAAGAGCGAGAGCAGAATCTTAGGTTCAGAAGTGTAAAAGTTGTAGAAGGTAACGGTGCAGCAGGAGTACTAAAGAAGGCGCTTTTAAAAGAGAAGAACGCGTGTTCGTCCACTTATAAAAGAGGTCGTTTCCACCTCCCCACCCCCGCCCCCGACAATCTTTCGTTTACACTGGTTTTGATGTACAGCTGACAATGAGATGATTTTTTCCTATGCAATTTCATTTACGGGACTAACACTTACACTGCTTACGTACAGCACTTGTATTATACTTACAAATATGCTCACACTTTACTTACTTCTTACACTACTTATACTTACCGACACTACTTACAATATGTACATTCAGAAGCATATCAGTGATATGCTTCTGGTACATTACAATACAATTACACTAATTAAACAACTGATTAAATTACAATTCGTCTACTTACAATACTCTCTTTATTGTTTGTACATTAATTCTCCGAACCATTACTAAAAATATTTATTTTTGTTACGTGCACTGGCGTACAACACTTATATTATACTTACATATATGTACTTACACTATACTTAATTCTTACACATTATTTACACTTGTTATACTTGCACTGCTTACAATACTTATATTACAATACAATTACATCCTAATTATTGAAATTGCAGTTGATCTACTTACAATGTTCTTTTTATTGTTTAATATTAATTGTTCGAGTCTCTAGCAAGAATGTTTTTGTTACTTATTGTATAAAGTATTAATTTTCTAGGATTCAATAGATTTTTAAATAAATAGATAGTGACAAAAAACAAATCAAAATACATAAGCCGCGAAGAAAATAACCTGGCGTTACAGGCGTTCATTTGCAAAAGCATGCACACGAAGGGAACGAAGTTGCGAGCGAGTATGAGAAATAAGGAGCAGGGGGAGGGGGTGGGGCAAAAAATGAATCCTTTCCTCTCCACCCCCTCCCACTTCTCCTCCTTTTATTGCTCACCCCCTTCACACTTCTCCCCATTTTTTGCTCACCCCCGGCGCGCCTGTTTGATCACTCGCTTGCTCGATATTCCCGCCAGGAAAATGGGAAGGAAACGTCTGCTACGCATGCTAAGAAGAAAAAGGACACAATAGAATACAAAAAAAAAATCCATTTGTTTTTGAATTCCTTCTCCTTATCAGAAGTGAGTGCAATGTATTGTTCTAGATTGATTTTTTCCCCGTGCTAGAGAGACAAAATCATCAAATTCGTACGTTATGGCATTTAAAGCGTTAACATGTAAAAAATATTTACCCAAAATAATGAGGTGGTCGAGGGCTAAACAGGAGGTGCGACAGCGAATAATTCTGAACAGAACCTGTAATTCTGACAGCAGCAGTTTCGTGTTACCAGAGATTGAGTACCACTCCTGGAATCTCTTGCAAAAAGAAGTTGCCTGCGTGCAGTTTATAAACAAATGCCACGTGGTCTGACACTCAGAAGAACAAAATAGACAGGAGAGCGTGGCAACTTTTTTCAATTTGTGTAATAAGCTATTCGTTGGCAAAATTCGGTGAATGATTTTTATATTATATTGAAATGATTTAATTTTTGATAACTCGATATTTTTTTGTAAAGGATAAGTTTTGCGGTCAATGTAAAACGCGGACTGCAGACTGCAAACCAGGGATAAAATGAAGACTGCAGACCAGGGGTAAAATACAGATTGCAGTCTACAGACTCAATTGCATGGCGTTTTATTTTCATTATTATCGAACGCTGACTGTAAACAGGATTATTCAGGCTAATCGCAGTGAAGTCTGCACTACGATTAGCCTGAATAGCGCTCCGGTTAGCCTGGATATCATTCAGGTTAGCCTAGACAACGTTCTGGTTAGCCCCAGGGGGCTCCCATATAAAAGGGACGGGGGTGCTCGGGAATGACGATGAGTGTACCACGTGGCCATTTCAAATTTTGATGTTGTTATTCAAAATGTATTCTGAAATTCGCCTGAATTCACTTTTGCCTTCTGTTATAATCTTGCCTNTGACGATGAGTGTACCACGTGGCCATTTCAAATTTTGATGTTGTTATTCAAAATGTATTCTGAAATTCGCCTGAATTCACTTTTGCCTTCTGTTATAATATTGCCTCGATTCCGTGTTGACTTTCTGTCTTTTGCATTCTGCAATTATCTTGCCTCGATTCCATATTTATGTTCTGTCTTTTGCATTCTGCGNCGGGGGTGGTCCTTGATCGCATCCCCCACCACCCCTGCTTCGTCGAGTTTTTGCCTTCGCTCCAATTTACGGGCGGCCAGAATGCGGAAAAGCTCTTCGCTTGCTACGCAAGCTACGATGAAAGTGCGCAGTTTTGGACAGTTTGGACAGTATAAAGAGTATGTTTTCAAACGAAAATCCATTAGTGTCGACAGAGCCAAAGTCCCGTATATATCCTAAAGAATGATTAGAAATCTTTGGAATGCAGAGGTCCACACGACGCAAGAAACAAAATACCAGATATAATTATCGATTAAAGCTTGTTTTGTAATTATGTCATTATGGCATGTCGAAGTATGCTCAGACTTGTGATCTGACATTTGTATAAGGTGTTCAAGATAGCTTTAGCTATCGTTTTGTTTGTAATCCCTCCATCTCAAATTTTCCCTGTCCAAACGGGAAATGTTTGGCGATCAAACACGATCAAACATTTTCCCGTTTGGACACCTTGTTTGACCGTGTTGGATCGTGTTCGATAAAATTTGAACGACGTCGAACATTTGATCAAACATTGCAAAGCATTTCAGTGTCCATTCAAACATGTTTGTTATCGTTTGACCACAAAGAACAACATCAACATGTCTGGTCACCAAACAATGTTTGATCGTGTTCGGTTGCAAAGCATTTTCCGTTTGGACCGGGCTTTACTTTTGACCATCCTCGCTCCCAGTAAGAAACCGGAGGTAGGCGCCTGTACTAATGGGCCGCTTGCCTCCTGCAATCCATTGGATTGGAACCTTTGAAAAACAAACAAACAAACAAACAAACAGGCAAGGTACACTAGCTTTATTTCAGTTGAACATTGAAATGTTTTTGAAAGCTACACAACTTGTAGGCAGAGATTTATAGATACGTAAATCGTTAACGGCAAACTTAACATTATAAGGTCCTGCTGGTTTCCAAATTTATTATATGACTGATAAAAAAATAACCTCACTGCGGTTAGCTGAAAGCATAAAAAAACTCTTGTTTTATCTTTTCGTTAATCTTTTACTTAACTTTTATGCTTTTGTCTTCACTATTCTATTCGAAACAAAAAAAACAAAACAAAACAATCTCTGTAATACTAGCCGCAAAAACCCTCTCGGTGCAAAGATCACTGTTCAAAATTTCTTTATAGTCTTTATATGTTGACATTATGAACGCAAACACATTACATAACTCGGTTCGTAATTTGTTTTGAAGTATAACCCTATATACATGTCGTTTTTGTAACTTTTTATTGTTCAATCCCATCACAACCGTCCACAGTTGAATCTACATGTATTTGTTTGACTTATAGTGTCCTCTTTACAAACAACTTTTATTTCATTAGCAGATCAAAGAAAACCTATCAGTCGATTCATAGCAGAGAGAGATGTCTTGTACTGAAGGAATCATTGTTGCCTGACACTGGTGGAATAATCTCTTTTTAGAGATAAAAATCAAGCGCCCCCTTAATTTATAATTGCGGGAACCTTTTAACAGAATTTTTTTTCCCGACCTATACATTCTTGGCGACAACTGAAAAATGATCAAAATTTAAGATACCTGCCAAATGACAAGAGCGCTAGATTAAAACTGACAATAAATCTTAAACCTCTCCGTGGCAATAAATCTTAAACCTCTCCATGGTAAAATAATCAGAAGCAAATGACACGCGTACTATTTTCTCTGCACCTGCTATACTAAACCCAAGTAAACGGCAAAAGAGAAATTAAACGTTGATCATGTCAGAATAACTGCGTGGAGACTTTCGATGCTACTTATTTGCCGGAACTCAAAACCGTACTGACTCATCTGCTGAGAAATTTAGGAAGTACAATTTGATCATTTGTTGAATGTCTCAATTATTGACTATTTGTTGAATATCTTAGTTATGGACTGTTTCGAATGTCTCAGTTATTGACTATTTGCTGAGTATTTTACTAGTTATTGACCATTTGATGAATATCTTAGTTATTGACTACTTGTGTAATATTTTATTAAGCCTTTTCAGTCTGTCTTCATGAGCGCTGTTATCTCTGATGGTCTGACTTCGTGCCTGCAATGACAATAGGTCAGCGTATTCTCTTTGGGAGAACTTGGCTCCTTGCTCATCAATGGACGACAGTATTTCCTGTTTGCGAAAGAAAGTCAAAGTCAAACAAGGAGATCATTTACCGCTTAGTTCATGTAGTCAGCTACAAAATTTTCCCATGCACAAGGAAGAAATTTTGCGTTCCTACAAGATAAAAATGGAATGTTTTCACGAGAGAAGTTTTCTACGGTTATCGCTGACCGAGGTTGGTAACGTAACTGATTTTGCCGACATTCTAGTAATCATCAAAACTAACGAAACCTCCCTCGTGAAAACCATGCATTGTGTAGGTTTGCATGCTAAAAAAATGATCTCAAGACTCAATCCTGGCAAATATACCGTGTGGTATAAGCTTTCATTGGGTGTCTACCTATAGTCCCACATCACGAACAAAGTGTAGCTAGTGACTTTTCAACGAAAGTAACGTTCAGACCACAAGAAAGATGTTCAAGGAGAAAGGGCCTGGTACTTACTTCCGGGTTAGAGTACAGCAGTTCGTAGTACTGTCGGGCCCGGTCCAGGTCTCCCTCTCGAGACATTGTTATATTTGTCAAGTTTTGCTGGATAGCAAAAATGTTACGACACCTAGAAAACAACAGAGTACAGACATGGTGAGTGATACAGTTATAAAACTGAAGCAAAAATCCTACACTTAACTAGTGTACTTGTACTTACATTTTCTTGATGCCGTTTTGATTGATCCTCTTTATCTCTGAAATGTTTGAAATGAGAATGGACGATACGAGGAACCCTACTCCTTCAAACAGGTATCTGAAAAAAAGAACAACAACAACAACAACAAGAAAACGATCAATGACTGTTACATAAAGCCCTGTTCTAAAGACTGCAGCAAAGTCCAAACAAGGTAGCGACGACTAGCCTATTACAACAAACATGACAGAAATATTCAAACGAGTCATGTAACTGGTGCCAAGTCCCCGAAGAAGCGCTTAGTCATAATACCGATTAGCAGAATAACCACGGGTTTGTTCTGATTGATTAGCACAACAGCAAGATGGTCACATGTTTTTAACTAAATTCCAGAGCTCAGCAAACCCAAAACCCAAGAAAACAATTGACTAGTTTGGACAGACAACCAACATTTGTTCTTTGATACACTAGTTTTGGTAGGTTGTCCTCACAAGCCGCTGATACCCAATTATCCACCTGGGTGGAGAGAGGCACTGTGAGAGTACACTATCTTGCCCAAGAACACAACACAATGTCCCCAGCCAGGGCTCGAACCAGGACCACTCGATCCAACACGTTAACTGTTAAACCACCATGCGACCCACACAAAAATAACTAGATGACCGGCCAATAATTTTGTAAACACCGACGGGTTTCCTAGCGGGTACGTGCCCAACAGTACCTGAACTTGTAGTGCCCCATGCAGGCCGTCGCTATCTCCTCAAATGATGACAGACTCTTGTTTAGATTATTCACATTGGAGTCGGGGTCCATGGCGTTAGAATTGCACACGTAGTTTGACTAAAAATGAAATGAAATTATCAGCTGCTGATAGAAATAGTGAAACCAAAGTTCACTCTTGAGACTTGCTCACGAAGCAGACGAAAAGGACTCGAGTGACCGTTTTTAAGTGTAGCTACACGTCAGCTGGACGCCCACCATCAAACATGCTTAGCAACAGAAAGAAGTGATACAAGTGAATATATGAAAGATCACTTTTTTTCCATAAAAGGAAAAAAAAAAAATTAATGATCATATATTTGAACTGCGAAGAAAGATATGAAGACATGATTGATAATCGCAGTTATAAACACAACTTAAGCAGTTGTGGAATTAAAGCCTGAAGAAAATTCAGGCTTCAACGGGATTCGAACCCATGACCTCCCAGTTGACCAGCTTCCAGTTGGCTTGACAGCCGCTCAGTTGGCAGAGCACTGCACCGGTATCGCAGAGGTCATCGGTTCGAATCAACATATGTCACGTTGCTTAGTAACCTTGCCTTGAATATCTTAGAGAGAACTGGGGTCGANTCCAGTCAACCAAAAATTCCTAAAACTTCACAACGGGGACAACTGGTACGGAAATTTCCAGTGAAAATTTCCAGGAAATCCAGAAATTGTTGAATTTCCGAAAAGCAAACCATTCAACCGAAAATTCAAGAAATTCCAAGGGGAAAGACAAATGGAATGGAAATTGCGGGTAAGAAATTTCTGAAAATTTATACCTCGCAAGATTGTCTTTTTTTCTGGAAATTCCGTAAACTCTTGTTCCATTGGTCACTGGAAATTTCTACAAATTAAAACCGAAATTCTTTATCGAATGGAAAGCGCCCAGAATTCTCTGGCCGGGTCCGCGCCGGCCATTTAACGAGTCAGTTTAATCGTATTTAATTTTTTAAATAAATGAAGGAATATTTTTTTCAGAAAACATCGCCAGGTGCGGTTGAGAGTTGCACTTTGACTGGCCGAGACGTTTATTATAAACCAACAGAAAGATAACGAAAACGTCATAATCTAATTAAAGAGAAGAGAAGGATAGAAGTGACAAAGTGTCACACTGTTACAAAAAAAAAAAATAATAATAAAATAATGAGATTTTAAGATTTTTTAAAGAATCTTGTGATGCTGTTTTATTAGAATTACTTTCCGCTCAACTTACCCAATTTCTACCGTACACGTAGGTGAATCCATAGCCAGAGTTAACCTCTCTCTGTTACAAGTTTAATATCATTTTGTTCAGTTAGGAAATAAAGTAATCATTGTATAACCGCCAAAATGGAATATTCCCTTTTTAGGTTGACGTGTTTTAAAAGCTTTAAATATTACTAGCACCTTCGAAAAGTCTTCGAAAACGTTTTAAATTTTAAATAGTTTACTGTAATTTGAAAATATTTACATTTTATAACATAAAGGTATTTGGTATGTTACTTGTAAATTAGTACTTTTCTGGTTCTGTTTTGAAGTTTTTTTAATGAACTCGCAGCTTGTCAGTAAATAAATAAATTCATAACTTGGGCAAAAGCATCAAAAGTGAAACATTTAACAAGAGGCTTGGTCAGAATTACGTCGTTAGAATTACTGATGTCTTATACACAGTTAATGACTGGCTCAGAGGGAAAAAGTGCACTTTGTTTTCTAAAAACCGTCAAGATTGAGGCTCGGAACAAAGAAAAACCTGCTTGAAGCCATGTAAGTTTGTCGTTATACCCTCAACTGAAAAATGATACTCGTTTTCTAATTTTGATCCACATCAATTCAACGGCAACGAGGAATTTACCAAGCGGACGGTTAAATGAACAATACAGAAGCTCCGCACGTGCGTTATCCAAAACTTAATTTTTCAATCAAAGTTGTCCTCGACGTCGTTAAAGTGGTAGCGTAGTTGGATTACTGCTGTTGATTTAATCCTTATAAAGGACGTGGCACTTCATGTCCTGTGCACTGGAATGTCTAAACCTGGCCAAATCACTGACTGTGCAATCAGTATTACAACTCACCGGCTTGATTCTCTCTTGTGACTCAGACGTGACAAGGCTTATAGCTGTGGACTGGGCTGTCAGGCTTGTGGTAAAACCACGTATGTGACCGGCTAACCACTCCTGTCAAAGAAAACACAAAACGTACAACGCCAATTGCTGTTACTAAGCCCTCATGCAAATACCTGGCTAGCGTGACATTAGAGCTGTCATGTTATAACGCAAGGGGATCATGCAAAACATCATACCTCGGTAACAGGTAATAATAAAAAACGAAATACTGCATGGTTCCTGACTGGGTTGTAAGCTCTGAGGAGTAATTAATCCTAACCTATCAAACAATTACAGAAAGCCTTCTCTAAACTGTAGGTAACACTAATATAATTTTTTTTCAAAGGTTTCAACTTCAGATGCTCAAAGATTTTGAAAGCGTTGCCAAGGAATGTAACTGCCTAGTCACCAGGCTTCAAGCATTCCCTTACCATACTCTCCTGCAGGTTTGCCAAAGTCCTGTGGTCACGTGTTTGAAATAGAACTTCAGAGTCATTTAGAAGATGTTTAGCCAGATTATCAGTCAGTATGTCAGTCTCCTGTTAGAACATATCACACAAAAAATATTCAAAGCAAGTTTCGCTAAATTCCTACAGCTGTGGGTTGCTATTTTTTTTCTCTTCACGAGAGGTACAAATGATCTAGATGGGGCAGTCTTATTGGTTAAACGAGCTGTCTAAATGAGTCTCGATAATGATACTCTGAAGAAAAAATATAAAGAAATTATAATTTGAAGCTGTTTTTTCATACCTAGTCTATAATCTTTGTTTTTAGTTTCTTAATGTTTCGTAATTTGGTGCTATTCGCGAACTTCAAAGAGAACTTTTCTGTTACACATGGACAAACCCTATTTCTGAACTTCAAGGCCAAACTATTTGATCTTGGGTTCAAGTCTCACGGCAGCAAAAGATTTGCTCTCTGCCTTTTAAATTTAAAGTGGTGACGATCATTAGGCGCTGCAGTCATCTAACCTGAATCACTTTGTGTCTGACAGAAATAAATTGAATTTTTTTTTCAAAGAAACTTCCATTTACAGTTTCATTCATGTGTTCGACCATTTTGTGCAAGAAATGTGCTGGAATCGCCTGAAAAAGCGTGACCTAGGACCATTCATACTACCAAGAGAAGAATACTAGAGAAATAAACAGCAAGAGTTGAGATTACCTTCTGATTTCGTTTTCTCACCGCCTCTACATCTTGTTCTTCGTCTTCCTGCAGAGAGAAAAACCAACGGCCATTAAAATTCTCAGTCATGACTGAGTTTGCGCAAGGTGTGGTAATTCAATAGTGTTTTGGACAACAGACTAGAAGATTCGGATTGGAGCCCTGGCACAGAAGTAAACATGGATTATTCCACAATATGGACAGTCTTACCTTTCTATGTCGATGTGAATGGTGGTGCTGAATGCCAGGCCAGTTGGGTAGAGACCTGCAAGATAAGATCGTTGCTAGCAAAGGTGTACAAAAAAAAAAGCAACAGTAGTCGCAAACGCTACTAAGCATGTAACCAGAATATGTAGGGATAGAGAATAGCATGTTTAGCATAAAGCACAATAAGAGAAAGGTTTCAACTGAGTGTAGGAAACCCAAAACCAAACTAATTACTTTCAATTGGCCAATCATAAAGGACGCAGAAAATCTGTTGAACCAATCAAAACTCCAAACAAATGCATATAGCCGACACCAAGCGCAGGGAAACGTGCTCGAGCGAGTAAGGTATGCAGAACGAAGTTAATGGTTTGGGATTTGTAAAGAACGGGTACGAAAACAACATATTTATTCTTCATGGTTACTCTATGTTACACAACGTTTCTATAACAAATACCATTTGAAGAGCATACTTTTTAATTACAAGTTGCATTCGCATGAAAAGTTGAAAGGAAAATCTTTGACGCAAATGGGATTTGTTGCCTTAGCCTCCAAACATCAAAGGAAGTGTCTTGTCCATCTATCAAGTGAGTTACCAATCCAGACAAGACCACTAATGGGCATAAAACAATGCACTTCCCTAATTCACTTCATGTTTTGTTGCACTCTCGACTAAATTGAGTCAGCTGTAATATTAATCAAGTCAATGTGTTTTGTTTGACGTTACCTCAGGCAGCGACTGATGTCTTCATCTTTGGTCCAGTTGGCACTGAAAACACGCGTGGGCTTATCGCCCTCTCCACTGTACTTCAGCAGAACTAAAGACAAGCAGTGATAGCGACACCGTGTTTACCAACAAAATTTCCCACTGCTTAGTTGAGCTAAATGTTACTATCACTTTGAACGAAATCACGGCCTTGTTGTCTTCACAAAGTACAATGGAACCCCGCCTTACGGCCACTCCGTTAACACGGTCACTTTGTTATTACGGCCACTTTTTTCTGGTCTGAACGAAAGCTCAGTCAGTTATTCTCTAATTTAAAGAGCCCCTTAAATACTGCCACCCCGTTAATACGGCCAGATTTTTGTGGCCTGTTGTTGACCGGATTAACTGGGTTCCACTGTAACTATGTTCTGCTCCAGCTTTCTTTTCTGTTTCAAAACCACGAAAAACATCACATAAGTCAGTATTTATGCAATTGTGTAGCGAATAAAAAAGGTTAAACGAACGAGCAAATGTGAATAAAGAAATTCTGAACAAGGTTCGACATAGAAAGTAGCCTTGAGAATAGAAAGCATGTACCTTTGTATGTCTCATAACAGCTATCCTTAAAAATGGTAAGCATTTTGCACACCATTTCCAGGAATTGCGATGAGTAGTTGGGTAAGCTGTGCATTAGATTCTTGAGATCCTGTATCAGTTGTTCTACTGTGGCAGTGCTCTGGAAACCAAACACACAATCAGGTGTTAATAAAGCCAGCTCATATACAAAGTATTTAAAATAACTTGATGCACGTGTAATAAAGATAGGGAATGGTAAAGAGTCTCCAAGTGCTGGTATATCGTGACCCGGGTTCTACACCAGTGCTACTTGATCTTCAAGCTCCACCGCCATTACCGTTCGACAGTTCACTGTGCTGGACTGTCCCGTTCCTCTTAAAGCAGTGACGTCATGGTTTTCGCATATTGAAAAGTTTAGCCTCAATTTTTCAAATTCGCCGTCTGTAATCCGTGTTTATCTTCTCCATCCTTAGCCATCCTTGTTCCTTTATAGTTTATCATTATCTCTTTGGTGTTTTTCTATCTTATTAAACTGTTATTTTCAGGTTTCCTACCATTTAAAGGAAATTTTGTATGTGGCCAAAATAACTCAAAATACCGTGACTGAGCCCCTTTAAGCAAATCTACAAGTTAACATGGTAATGAGAAGTAGGAGCATGGTGCTGGAGATTGACTACAAAGTTCTCAATACTAGCAACATGTAAGTTGGACCCAAATATAAACATACTATCGTTATACACCGTTTCTCTCAAAAGATTTGCCAAGGAACAGGATTTGTCAAAGTCAAATTCAATAAAAAACAAATAAGACATTACAACTTCGTTCTCAGGATCTCTTTTCTTTCCGCCACGTGAAGCGAAAGAGATCCTGGGAACCGCGGCGAGGTTGAGGGAAGACTGAGGTTGTTGCATGACAGCTGTCACTTTAATGGACGAAATTTTATTTTTTTTCTTGTTGTTTTCATAAATTTCATTATTTTCTTTCTCGTTTCCCTTTCTTACCTTAATCATCTCAGACGAAGTATAAAAAAAAAACCAAACAAAAAATCAATCGAACGTGCCTCAAAAAACCTTAAATAATCATACCTGCAGAAGGGGTCTACTTGCTCCAAGAAGCTTCATTATATTGGCATCAGTAGTTCTTCTAAAGGTGTCTGTATCTAGCGATAAAAAAGACAAACCAAAGCCGGATTCAGACCAGGAACTATATAATCACTTTCTGTGAAGATTTGAAAGTACACGTGCTCTCTCCAATCGGCTGTTGTTTGATTGAGAATAGTATGACTTGCAATTAGAAGCCCATTATAGAGACACACCAAGGATCTGCTATGGAATCTATTGGAACGAATTTAAGGCAACCATTCCGCGGGGGAATAATTGAATGCATAAAGAAATTCAGTGCTGTGACCTCACGTTTACTGACGAAACGTTAACACATCTTGTAGAATCAGTTCTGAATGCTAGACTGACTGGTGTACGAAAAAGGCTTGATTGCAATGCCCCACTGCCTTTGTTTATACACAATTGGCCATGACCAACTTGCCAGCCTGAGTGATGATTTTTTCCCTCGTCCTGTATATAACGACACGTTGTTGAGGATTGTAAAAAAATCTTCTGAACACAAAAGGTTTGCAACTTTATGACCCTTAAATAATCCACAATTTATTGTCGACTTTGCATATTCCTGTCTTTTTACGTAATTGCACTATTGTTTCACAATCAGTCATCTTGTTGCTGTGATTACTAGTCAGTTATATTCCAGATCATTATAACATTCACATCACACCGACTAGCGATTGTATTTCATTTGAGAGTGATGATGGATGATGGTCCATCCCTTCTGTTGAGTTTTATGTCAGGTGTGCTGCTTTTGCGCTTGACGCATTAAATTCACACGTTCACTTTGTGATTATACCTTCTATATCCCATACTTACCACTATAAACTGTAAAAGCGATTTTGAGACGTTATTACTGCATTATACAGGTGGCAAGTTGGGAAAAAATACTTTCTCTTATTGGTCAAAGTCGCGTAGCCACGAAGCTCAATACGAGAATGTTTTTTTAATTACTCCCTGAGAAGTAGGAAGAAACACGCATGCTCTCGAAACAGAACAAGCTTTTTTTTATTTGTTAAGTACGTACATGTAATGTCTGGCGAAATGTCGTCTCTCTCGTGAGTAAAACTAGGAGAGGATCACAATACTGCATAATATCTTAGCATTTAATCTTACCCAGGGTCACCTCCCTCAGCTTTTCACGAATATCAAACAGAATTTCCTCGATAAAAATATCTTTGACGTAGTCTGTGATAAAACCATACAGGGTGCATCTCATCCTGAAAAAGAAACATTTGTAACATTGAAAAGGGGTTTAAAAAGAAAACAAAAACATTAAGAAAAAGATAAAGATAGCTTGATGACCTCTACGGTTTTCATATTTACCAACCGTTCACCATCGTTAAAGCCTGTTAAGAATTGAACCAAGTGACTCCTCGGGGTTTAAAGAACGAGAGAAAGACAAGAACAATAAATCTAAAACGCCAAGGGTGGCGTGGGCGGGAAGCGATTATGGCTGAACTTTGAAACGATCTGAAAGCCGATACACTGGGTCAGCTAAACGACTACCAGATAAGGGGCGTCTTCTCTCTGGTAATAACCAATCACCATCTACGGTGATCCTTGTACTAGTTATGAAGAGAAATTATTTATACCTTCCCTGGATAGAACTCTAGACCACGCTACACGTACCACCAGCTTTGACAGGTGTAGTCAACAATTCCTTAGTACCTCATTTTAGTACTGGATGAAGAGTTAAGTGTCACACCCAACTCACAACGCAAAGACATTGTCCCAGTTCCAACCTTGGTCCTTTTGATTCATTTCCAACTGTTGGTTCCCCTACAATGTGCGGTGATAATCAGGAAATTTTGTTCCGTTGTGTGACACTTTGTCCAAATGGTCAATTGATTGATTCAAATCGTTAAACACTCAGAATCAAGGTCTACCCAAGTTGTGGGCCCAACCAGGGTGAAGAAAAATTGTTACAAATAAGACTAACATCCTTAATACATGAAGGAAAAACACACTTACTCTCCCTGCGTTTTGATGGCCGCTTCTATTTCACTGACAAAGGACATCAAGGGACAGAACACAACTGCAAGGGATTTAAATGACAGCAGTTTTAATCAGGTCGCAATGGAGTGTCTGTTTTAAAGCAAAGTTTGACTTTTTAAGAGTTCTTATAACAGTCCACCTTGTTTAAGTGTGCCAACAACCCACACTAAATAGCTGTCTCAGTATTGTCCTGTGGAGTGTCTGTGGGCAGCCACCCTTTATTCCATTAATCCACAAAAAAGAAAGAAAGGTTGACAACTGTTGAACTCTGAATATGCATGTGTATCCGGTAAAAATTATATTCGAAAAGAAAAACTTGAGTGCTTTGAAAAAAACAAGAGTTAATAACTATCCTTTCACCAGTCATAGCACAAGCGGAATCCTTTTCTTCTCTTTTTTTTTTTGATTTCATGAATAAATATTCAGTTTAGTATCAATTCAAAATTCAACAAAACAATGATCTTTTTCACATTAATAGACATTCTATTCATCTCAATGCAAGACAACGTCATGTATTTGGTTAAAAGTACATTGTGAAAACCAGTCTTTCTTCGTGTCTAAGAATGTTCAGTTCACCTGTAATGTTCCTTGGGTTTGGTTTACATAACAGCTGTGGCTTGGTGTTGTGAAGTGGTTCACCATATGTGTCATCGTCCTCCTCATTCTAAAGGATTGCAACAGCAAATGAGCATTGCAGTGTTCTACATGTGTAATTAAAAAAATGCCCATACGCTCAGGGCAAGAAGTACCTTTTGCGAGTTTGTCTTGCAATACTTTCCTGTTGTGAAGGCCGAAAAGATTGTACAATAAGCAAAACAAAGTAACGTTTAGATCACGACTAAAGACTTTGATTGGAAAATATAGTCCTTTAGTTCTCCACTGTCTAAAAGACGTGTTGTTAATGTGAAAGTTAACCAGATGACTTGATAGCTCCTTACCGCTGTTCCAGCCATACACTCCTGTCGTCTTTCTCTTATGTACGTGTTCATACTGATGGCAGATGAAGAGCCCTCAAAACGGTACAATGGCGTCTAACAAGCAAGAATATATTTCACAGATACTTTTTGTTAAGGAAAAGAGACCAGACTCTAAGAAGGATAGCTTCTGATTACTGATTATAAAAGAAATCTCTTTCTAAATTTGCTGTAATAGAAGCTTCTTTTACAGACGAATGGTAAANTTTTCACAAGCTATTTAAATGTTTCCTTTCAAATCGTGTCTACCATGATGCCTTCTCTGTGCAAATTTGTACAATGTATGTTAATGAGGAAAAATGTAAACAATGACGTCAGCAAAGATTTGCCTATAAAGGTGCCTGGCACTGATTGAAGAGAATTGGTATTTAAATGTCTATGACTGAATTACAAAAGGGATAAACATTATAAAAACCTTCTCCTTACAATAACTCTATGAATGGCTGAAAGAACTGTCTCATGAGCATGGGCCACACCCCTGAACAGGTCAAACACCACTTCTAAGAGCTCCAGCAGATAGTGAGGCTGATTCTGGAACAAATGTTAAATAAACACACAAACAAATAAAGATAAGATAAAAAGAAATCATGTGAATGGTTATAATAAGGTATAATCTGATTTTTGATTTTGAGACCCAAGCTTAACTGCTGAAACACTGTACCCTAAGGTTGTATACTCAGATACATGTAAGCAAATAGGAAGAAGCATACAAAAATAAATCAAACTGTACAATCACTGTATATGTCCTGTATCATTAGAATATTCCTATAACTGGAATGTAAAAACAAAATCCCATTCACTTAATATAAGCAGGGTTTAGATGGGATAAAATAAACACAACCTAATTAAAGCTGGGTTAGGAGTGTTTAAAAGCAAGTCATATGCAATGTGTTGTAAGTACTAAGTCCTGTAAGTAATATATTGTAGGTAATCTATAGATTTTAAGAGTTGGATTATTTGGTCAAAGACATTTATTGCTACTCAGAGTTTCATGCTCCTTGCGAAGCAATCATCAGGCAATTGCCAAAAATAACAGATACATAAGAAGATATACAAAATTTGAAAATACAGAACAATGCCCAGTGGCGTGACATGCAGAGATATGATTGGTAAAGCTAAGCGAGCACGGTCTTTAACAGGAATTTCTTAGAATGTCTACAGTTAGATATCAGTTCGTTTCTGTTGTTCAGTGTTGCCATTTCGGTTTTACAGATNTTCAATTACTGTAAGACCATTTAAATGTTATGTGAATTATTGTATTCATAGGCACTTTGATTCATATTAAAATTTATTTACTACTTGCACAGTACTGTTTGCTTTGTCTTTTTGGAGCTGCATGTGCTACTAGTAGATACTGCATCTTTCTCCGTATGGTTACCATAATTGTTTTAAACTTTTTAACCATAATTATTTTTGTCTCTTACAAAAATTACCTTTTAGTAACAAGAGTGGTAGCCCTGTGAATGATCAAAGACATCTCTATCTTCATTCTCTTCTTGATTGCCTGGCAACAAAGCCAATAAAACACACTGTATAATTTCTTTCAAATCAGATCATAGATCCTGTAACAGTTAAATGTAAATGTTCATTCAGCAGGCACTTTTTCCTGCATTCTGCATCATAAACTGCTTCAAAATTGGTTTTGTACATTTTTAAGTGAGAGGCCTTTGCATGTGTGACCAGACAAAGTATATTTGCAGATTGCCCACCATCTTGATATGATGCCTCACACAAGTACATTCTGCAAATTAAATTTATTAGGAATTTTAAGTCTCTTTTGTTTTAAATTTCAGGGATGCAGCCAAGACAAAACTCAGGAGGGTTCACTGAGAGCCATTAACAAGCTAAATCAGCTTGTCTGTTCACTGGCTTTCTAAATTACCTATTAAAGTCTTTAATTTGTTTGACACTTTAGTAAACATTTAACCCCTGATAAGTTCTCTTTCAGCTGATTTAATTTGCTGGTGGGATGAGCAGCTCCTTGCTGCAGTATAGTGTACATGTACATCCCTTTAAAATCTATAATACTATGGTTAATTCATAGCTAACAGCTACAGTCATCCACCAGTATCCAGCCATCCACCTTAGACGATCAACTATCATTTTCGAGTCATGTAAGCAATGTAGAAAAGCCTCCTGTCAAACTGGGGTTCCTCTGAGATTACGTAACCTCATTCCGACATCAGCTAAATTAAACATTGTCAAATTTGCAATACTACCTCATCTCATACACATGTATACTGTCAGACTGTCTGGCATTTTTGTCGTTCTTCTGATGCCAGAAAACTAGAACGAATTCAGGAACGAGCACTATGAGCTGTTTATTGCAACAATAAATCGACGTATGAGGAACTCTTGCAAAGAGTGAAACTACCAACACTTCATATGTGACAATTGCAAGCCATTGCAACCATAATGTATAAAGTCAAAAATGGTCTGGCGCCTCCTTACATTGCGGAATTATTTGTTGTTGCGAATTCTCAGTATCACCTTAGAAATTCTGATTTCACAATACCCAGATTTCGGACTGTTGCTCATGGCAAACATAGCCTGACTTATTTAGGCGCTGTCATTTGGTCCAAACTCCACAAGTCTATTCGATCTTCTGAATCATTGCACACTTTTAAAAAGCGCATCAAATTGGTTGATTTCACAAGCCTGCTGGACAGTACTTGTAGAGACTGTTCTTTATGTAACAACTAACATTTGATCTTACTGCATGACTCACCGTTTGCTTTATATAATATATTTTAAAACACTTACATATGTACATGTATTTCATATTTCATTAATTATTAGATAAGTAATCGTAGTTAGGTGTCCCCAATTAGTATACATTGTATGCTAGCAACTTTGACACGTTAATAAAGTTCAAGATTATCTTATCTTATCTTATCTTATCCAGCTACCCTGCCTTGGAATGTCATTAACAAGCAGTTGGTCATTACATTTAATTTGTATCTTCAGCGTCAGCCAGATGTTGCCATTATTAGCAAGCTAAATATCTGGTCATTTCTGACAGTTACAAAACATTAACTGACAGTTACAAAATGATAATTATCTGCTACAGTGTAACAACAGTCATGTTCTTACCTGTAGTGCAGGTTTGTAAATTGACTGACTAACTGCTCTTAATGCATGTACATATTTTAATTACTAAGCAAGAAAGGTAATCATAATATACAAGAATGGATAATTCTTTTTTTCTTAAGTACCTCAAGTGCTTCAGGAATCTTTCCAAGCAGAGATAGAGATTCAATTAGAACATTCATGAAGTGATCACTGTCTGACTCTGGGTCAGTATTCAGGTCTTCTGTGATCTGAAATAGTAATTATAATATAATAATTAAAAAGAAAGTTATGCTTCTACAAAAATGTACAATGTACACTAAAGGTTGTCCAATACCATCTAATGCTGGAAAAAGGTATTGGGAAAATGGAAATAATAGATTTATCACTCTGGAGTAACGACTCAATGTACAGCCACAATGTTTTCCCGTCAAACATAAAACAAAGTCTTGTTCAAAGTCAAATACATGTAAAGTAGTCAATCACAATAACACTCCATAGAAAGCAGAATTATCAACAAGCAATAATGTAGTATACATGTATGAAGTTGCTACTAACAAAATCTCTGTCATAGAAATTTCTCAAACATTTTTAAATTATCTGTAGCTTAGATCAACATAAAATTTAATTATGTGCATGTACATGTCTAATATGCTACAAAAAGTTACTTCGGTGTTGATTTTTAGGGCTGGCAAATGCTCCGTTTAAAAAATAGTTAATATGCATCTCACAGAATTTTAATCAAATTTCACAGACTCTCTCACACTCTGGACTTCTTTTGCAAGGCTAAAAAACTCTTTGGCTTGCAAAAAGGATGTTACATGTAGCCTTGCCTTATCGCAATGTTTTAGATTTAGCATTAAATGCTACCCCTAATATTTATGAGGACTCAGGACTCCCAACCCATGATTCTCGTCATTTATCCAAAGCTGCTTTAATTTACCTCAGTTGATGAATGTGAGTCATGTGAAGCTGATGGATCCATCAAAAGAGATCCTGGCAAACAACAAAATTATGTATTTACTTTTAACAGTTTATTGACTGAAAGGGACAATATTATACAGGTTCTTGAATATCCTTTTGTAAACACAATTTCCCTGGACAGATGGAAGCTGTACATCATGATTGTACGATAAAAATATCTGAGGCATGTATGAAGGGTAAAGGTACATTTATAAATGCAGCAGAAGGATAGATCTTATCAGTTGCACATCGTTCAGTTTTCTGACCAACTCAATACAACCTGTCAGTAATCCATAACACAACACAATAGAAAATAATTACTCGCAATAATTATCCAGGCTCACAGGACATTATAATAAGTCAAACTACAGTGTACAAATCAAACAAAAATAATCAAATCAAAAATAAAATTGATGGTAAAGCCAACAGCGGGGACCATCAAGATCTTCCAAAAACTGCCTTAGTTTTGTACATTTTGAATCATAAAATGTGTTAAATCAATAATTTTGATTCCACATCAAATTGCTTGTTTTCCTAAGATCAGCTACAAGTTGTTGTCTGTAATTGTCTTACAGTCTGTAATTCTCATCAACTGGAAGTCGATACATGGTGTATAAATTACTGTATATAACATATCGTGTTAGCAACTAATAACAGTGACTGAAGACTACAGCATTTAACAGTGAAGTAAATACTATACAAATCAGTTTCTTACTTGAGGCAGTACGAGAGTGGGACTTCTTGAAGATTCCTCCAGAACCAATAGTGGATGACGACTCTACAAAATTGTAACAATGCAATCGAGATATTTTGTTAACAGTAGTTGCTTAATATGCCAATCAATTCTTATTTTAATTAGTATTTCACTTTGTCAGTAAAAAGTTATCTTTGTTTTAACAACTTCATTTAAACAGAACTTTATTCACAGTTATTGCTGTCAAACAGGTACATGTACATTGTATGGTAACAGTGCTGTACTATAAATTGAGCACATTGTGAATGGACTCAAGTAAATTTTGGAAACCAAGTACAAACTAGTTACATCTGGTGGGTTGTTTTAATGCTCTGGTAGGTTATGTGTACACAGTAAAGTCAAGTTACTGTTGGTATTTAACCTAGGCTAGTAAGGCCTAGCATTTCATTATTGACAGATCTATACACTGTACATTGTAGCACCCTTGCCAACTGACAGCCAAGCCGCCTCCTTAAACTACACACTAACACAGACCTCTGTACATGAATACAGTGCTGTATACATGGAGGAGAAGTATGGATTTTTCAGCCCAAGTTTCAGCTAAATTTGTCTCTCAGTGCACATAACATTAATTTTAACCCTTATCAGATGTCCACTACAGGGTGGCTCAAATGACTGTTTATGACACAAACCTTTAGCTCCTACAGAAGCATTGTCAGTCATATATGCCACTAGTTTTGTTCTCTTCTGTCTGCTCTTCTCTGATTTCAGATACAGATGAGTGTTCAAGTCTTTTATCAGCAATTCATGCTCCACCTAACACAATGGACAACAAGAGGAGATTACATGACAAAAATAAGTTTTTCCAGAAAATACTAATACCCCTCCCTACAGGGAGCCTACTAAAGATTTTTCTGTTTTAACTGCTTCTCTTATCTCTCTGGAAATTTTAGTTTGGCTCGACACTTCGTTTTAGAAGATGTGCCAAGGTTTTGAGACCTCTCTCCATCAGAATTTAATTGACCCCTACCCTTGGGTGGCAATGAACAGCCCATGGAATTACAAAATCATATGCTCAGGTAACATACACGTAATTTGTACAAGTCACATGATCAATGAAGCTGTATTTATTACAATGATTATATTGTAATGCTAACAGTTTTACTTTCACTTTTACTTAAAGTTTTATTTTGTCAGTTCTTCCCAATGTGTGACCAGCTAGTCAAAAGAATAAAGGTTTTCTAGAACTCCTTTCATATAGTAATGTCTTTCACTGTTTTGTCACAGTACTATTATTAGACACATTTTGTAATTTACACCTATTTTTTACCTACGTTATATAAAAAGTCACTCACTTGTAAACATCCTTAAGTTGAAGATGGATACTGAGTATCCAAAACATGTCTTACAAATGTAAAAGGTGTGTTGTCTTTTTTAAATGTTTGATTTCAATCTTACTGCTAGGAAAATTTGGCAATGTTTACTATATATAATGTATGTTCTGCAAATGTGTTCTAAACTTTAATCAAAGGCTGTGGATAAAACCCTAACATGATTGTGACAACTCAAATGAAAGCTACTGAGCAGTGCTTTCATATAAGAGTTGACTTCAGTTATCATCTCTTTATGGCCGGCATTACTAACCCTATGTTCATGAGCATTCAAGTGTACACATGGCTGCAGAACAAGGTATTCATGAGACAAGATTCATGTAAACCTATTGACATAACTACCTTCTTTCTTGACTGTAAATCAAGTCTAAGATGTCTCAAGGCCTCCACTCCAGACAAACTTCCCTCAAGCAGAGAGACTTCATATGAAAGTCAGATGAAAAACAATGAATTGTTCCATCACTACAAGTTTTCATACCATACTGATGAAAGAAACTACATGTCACCTTCCTGGCTCATAAATATTATTTACGTACATGTACAGCAAGACAGAATGTAATTGGGAAACAATTATACAGTAGCTGATGTGGACTGATTGGTGAAGTCTCAATTGATGACATTCTATGACTGACAAGTTACTATATTGGCCAATTTCAGATATAAACATTCAAGAAAATAAATTTAGTGTACAGTGAAAACTTCTGAAAATACAGTAACTCCTTCCACTTCCAGAAATCAAGTTCTCAAAATATCTGACTAAGATAGAAAACTCAGGGTTGTCCAAATTAGAACTTGTGTCAGCGAAAATCATCATCTACTTTTATTATTGTCTTGGCGGCCGGCTACTCTGGTGATCTATTCAACTGAATCTTTAGAAAAAGATTGCAATTCAGCCACAGGACTTTGTCACTGACATCCCTGAGATTGAGAAACCTTTTCAAGGACAAAGCCCCACTCACATCTTCACCTGGGCAGGGGGGGGGNGACTCCCTATAATGGCCAGGAAGGCTCCACCCAAAAGGGGTACTGTTTTCAGGCTTCAGGTATATAAAAGGCTAGGGCTTGCACAACTTGAGGTTTATGTGCATAAAAGGATAGGGAAATCTGTCACTTTGTTATAGATTTAAAGGGCCTTTAATTACTTTTTTTTTCAAACATACGCAACTTATGGCTGTACAATTTCATTATTAGGCACTCCATGAAAATCAGAAGAGGACTTCCTTTTTTTGTGAGTTTTCAATAGAGAAAGTTTGTTTACTAGACAAGTGATGTAATATGAAGAGTTTAATGTAAGGAACTCTACGGTAAATGTGTCACAAACTCTTTTAATTACCGGTAATTAGATTGTTCAGTTCAAGAAAATATCCATACTCCCCCTACAGAAGGGATTGGAATTTCCTGGGAGGTGAGGGGTTCTGTAAGACCAAAAAATTCTAAGAAATGTATGAAGCTCAATTGGAACTTCCAGACGGGTGGGGTGGAGGGAACTTTAAAAAATTCCCTTCCGTGGGGGGAGGTATCGATATTTTCTGGAACTACACATGAGAGCTTCAAAAATTAAGCTGCTATGTTAGTGAAAATTCAAGGGCTTTCAAGGACCTATATTTATGCCGATAAATTTCAAGTACTTTCAAGGCCTTGAAAATGGACTCCTGAAATTCAAAGGGTTTTCAAGACATGTACGAACCTTACTTGTGAGCAAACAAGATGAGAGCAGTACTGTAGACCAAATATGGTAGAATGGAAAAATGCTGCTATATATAACTATTTTTAATTAAAGAGCATAGCGATGAAGTGTTTGCATATCAGACCTGTGGACACAAGAAGCTCTGTAGCATGCAGGTAATACTTCTTTTTCTTGTATTTCTCAATCTGTTCAGGAACGTTCTTAACTTGATCTCTGAGAAAAATGCATGAAAAAAAGGAAGCAAAAAATGATGTCAGCAAAATTAATAATGTAAGTTTAATAATGTGTAGTTTGCCATGTGAATTTGAAAAGAAGCCTTGCCAGGATAAACAAACACAAGCAACAATGATCAAAATGGGAACAAAATGAAATTGTGGGAAACAAAATTATTTCAATCTGTTTTCAGAACTTTCTGCAATTTTACTGTACTCATAAAATGTGACATTTTAAAATTCAGGCACATGCGATGGACCTCCCTTCCCCAGATCTAATCCACACCTATTGTGCATTACTTACATTCTGTCCAAGAGATTGAGGACTTCATTGTACTCCAAGCCATCCATCCAATATTTCTTCAACTCTTCTCTTTTGCAGTGTAGTAATGACTTGCATGCCAGCAAATTTTCTCTTAGAGACTTCACTTTCTGAAGAGATGCTAATTAAAATAATAATTTACTAAGATACATAATTAACATTCAAATATGAACATGCTGTTAGTTTTATACTTTTTAAATGGACTGAAAGTCAAGATTGTTAAAAAAATTTTAATTAATGAAGACATGTTTTGGATGAAACTTAATCCATGACTCTAATACAATAATAATAATTAGCATCACCCAACTAATGGACTAATGCAAATCCTGCATTCTAATTGGCTACGCTACTAGAGGACTATTAGTAATAGTCCTCAAGTAGCGAAACTGGTGCAATCAAGCGTGACGCTTTCTTTCGTTTTATTCCCAAATAAATATTTCTTCAACTGGCATTTGCTAACTTTATTATTGCCTTTTCTGTCCGACTAGTTGGGTGATACTAAAACAATTAGACCCTTCGCCCTCAAGGGCCACAGGTCAACAGCCCATTCGGCTTCGCCTCATGGGCTATTGACCCGTAGCCCGCAAGGGCTACGCGTCTAATTGTTAATTATTAATAGGATGACGTTTCATCTGAAACATGTTTATGTTTACACTAAAAAAGTCTTGACTGTCTTCAAAATGTTAGTTGTCCAAAAGTACTGTACAGTTTAGTATTGATTAAGTAAAGTTTAGTATTGATTATTTTGAACAATTATCCATTATTAACAATATTAGTCATAGCATGGTAGAAATTAATAAACAATTAGGTCTGAATTGTTATATTTAAAGTATTCAATGCATAATATAAAGATTTAGCCAAGCCTAAAATTAGCAGATCGCTCCTAATTAAAAGATACCCTGGCTTGAGCCTGCAGCTGCAATCCAATCAAAAACCTGTATCTGGACAGCTGTCAACTTCAAAAAAACATGTAACCTTAAAAACCTCTAAACATGAACCTGCAATATGGTCGGGTAATACTGGTCAGCAGATACTTTCTTTTGACAGGTGTCACAACCAGAGGTAGGCTGTGAACCTGCCCCTCCCAATCTCTAATGGAAAAGCCCTGGAAATGAGATTGTTGCAGAGTGTGGCATTTCACTAGATTTACATGAAGGGGCATACATGCGTCCATCCATATGTATGGACTGACCTACAGATGGACAGACAGACCTGTGGACAATCACTAGACAACCAAAATTTTTTAGCTTGATGGGATACAACTTTTCTAAGCAATGGGGCTTCGTTCGCCAACTGTGGCGCATGGGGGCTCCTGTGCCTCTATCATTATTCTAGTGTCTCCCCCACCTGACCCAATGCATTTCAAAATGACATTATCATCATGTTACAGGTCACAAATTTTTATACCTGCAATTCTGGTGGAAATTCCAGTAAATGTTTGAATGCTTGACTTCAAATGCTCTTGGTGTGCTGAAAAATTCAAAAAGAAAGGTAAAGTCTGCATTCAAGTCCAGTGGCCCATCAAGCTGGTGCTTACAGGTGTCTTGAGCGTCTGTATGAAGCAACTAGGAGTATTTCTAGTCCCCTGTGGATGGGATGTTAGTCTGTTGCAGGGTTATCCCCAGCGTGAAATTCACCAGTACTGATTTGTCCACCTGGGCTGAGGTGCTGTGAGAGTAAAGTGACTTGTCCAAGAATACAACAGGATGACACCAGTCAGGGCTCGAACCCAAACTGAGTCCAGGGCACTAGCCGCTAGGCCACTCCACCTTCCATATGGATTGTACAATGCACATGCAGCCCACAGTTTAATGGCAGCTTGTGTTCATGTTGTAGAAGGTGTAATAACCTACTAGTTAGCACAATGGGCTGTGAAACAGGTGATCTGGAAATTGTACATCTATACTGTGTTCTTGGGCAAGTCAGAGAATTCTCACAGTGTGAAGAGGTACTAGTGAATTGACAGGGGGAATTTATAACCAGTATTTTATGAAAGTTAGTTGAACACTTGATTAGCCCCACTGCTTTAACAGGGTTATAGCCAAGGGTCAGCTGCCGGCTAATTTTACCTACTGACTGAAAGAGAACTTAAATCCAGCTGAGATTTCATATGAAAACAAAGACTTGGGGTAACTTTGTTTGTCAGAAAAGGTGGCTGAGCTTGTTAATGAGCCATCTAAGTGCTTTCTGAGCTACATCCCTGCTTTTTACTATCTCTGGCATTTTTAAAGCAAGATCTAACCTTCAACTTGTCTGTTTAGCTTGTCATCATATCCTGACAGTTCATGCTGCAGCCTTTCCCTTTCAATAACTCGTCTTTCCACATTATCACTGATAAAACAAGAAACACGGTGAACTTTAAGCCATATGGATTGTCTTTCATTTCAGCCCTCGTATAAATATGAATGTATAAAAAGATCAATCAGGTTAATTTAGTCACATCTGTTTCAACCTAGAGGTGACATTCTTTTAATCACATAAAGTGATTTTACATCCATTCTTTGGGATTTCTTAAGAGTGAATTCAAATTGCTTTATGTGATATTAACGGCTTAACTTCAAAATACCCTGCCACCTGCCAAAGTATGTGCCTAAGTAGACTATCTAGAACAATAGTGCCAGTGTATTCTGCAGTTGCTCCCAGACTACGTACATGTGGTTGGAAAACAAATTAATTAAACACAACTTGATCTACAACATTTCTATGAACCCTTTAAAGGTCTATTCTCTCACATTATTCATGCCTGCTGCGCAGATCTTAAACTGCAAACTTTACGGGTGTCCTTCATGCGATATTTCCTGACGAAAGTGGGTGGTTTTTCACAGGCGAGGAGGTACGGAAACAAAATCTCATTTGTTGACTTGGTTTATCGTCTTCTTATGACAACTTGTTTAGTTAGTAACTTGCTGTTGAAGACCGCGTATATTACAAACGATGAAGGCATTTACAACGTAGTGAAACTAATCTTCTTAATTGAGTAATAAACTAGCTTGTCACTTGAACAGACATTCGGGGTGTCAAATAAAGTTAACGTTAAATATAAGTACCTGCTTAACAACGTGTTTATGACTTCCAAGAGCTTTTTAGACTAAGGAAAAGAGAAAAGCTCGTCATTAACGCAAAACAATTCAAACTTCTCGCAACGTGACATAAAAATTACCGATGAGTCTTTGCCTTGGTTCCTACTCTTGAAAGTCGCCATCTTGTTTGTTTTGATTACCGCTGCCGTTGATAGTGGGCTCATATACTTCCTCGGTCTCGATCACCTCGTGTTGTTTCACGATGAACAAATTACAGCTTGATCTTCAGCTCCTAGTGAGGCCAAATATTCTTAATTTGACTCCTTATAGGTGTGCAAGGGATGATTATAATGAAGGTAATTGTTATAAGCTTGATATTTAATTCGATGCTATTTACATAATATTTCATCAGCGTTGTACGTTTGCACGGTTCACATTGGAAACATTGGAAAGAATTAATATATAGTACGCTTAAGCTTATAGATTCAAAAATGTTTCTAAGTTCAATTTATTTGAGTCTAGGCTGTTTTCATACTGTGAAGTTCATTGGATAGTGAATGCGTTTTGCATTAAGTGGACAGCCAGCTCTTTTTGTGGTGTAATATTTACATAATGGTGAGTCATTCCATTTTTTTATCCTCTCTCCCCCCCCCCCCCCCCCCCCCTCGTAGCTAAAGGGGTTCTAGAGGGTCCAGGAAATTTGGAAGTCATTACAAGCCGTTTTTGAGGGGGTAACTGTGTCAGTGCCTTTGATCTTTTATAAATTCTCAGTTGCCACCTTGATCTTCCTTTCTTCGCGGGGGAGGCGGGGGAAAGGGGGGGGGGTTAAAAAGTTTCCTTTTCAGAGGGGATAAAGTTCAAAGCTCCTCAATTAGGGAGGTATGGATATTAAATGGAATGTCACAATTAGCTAGTTTATACTAATGATTGTAAAAGAGGTTAGCCAAGGTTTTGATCATTGAACTCCACTGCAGTGGTGGACAAACTATTTGTAGTTACACAAGACTCTTGCTATTATGGACCCTAAATAACATCAGTTTTGAGTTTTGAGTTTTTTCAGTTTTGAACTGTGGTTTCTAAAACTAGCTCTACCTTTTAATCACAGCTTTATCTGAGTAATTGACATGTCCGCTACTATATTTCCACATAGTAGTCGTAGCTTTAATTATTTGTATTTTTAATTGTCCACTTCTACAATACTATAGTTGTGCCACAGCTTTACCTACATTACAAACTGTGTGCTTGTGTAGCAGGAATCTGTTCAAAAATTAAAGCCCCTCATCCTCCTTTTCCAAACTCCCTAACCCCTTTCTGCCATTACACAACATAGAATACATGTACCGGTAAGTTACAATTGTGTGTGTGTGTGTTTGTTCTCATTAGGAGTTCTTCTAGATGCTAATGAATGCTCATATGGATCATGCATCCCACTGGAAGGTGACATGCATCGTTACCCCTCCCCCTACAACTTTGACCTGAAGGAGAAAATAGCGAAGTTCAGGGGGGTGAGGAAAGAGCAGATATTTCTTGGGGTGGGCAGTGATGAGGCAATTGACATGGTGGTGAGAGTATTCTGTACCCCTGGTGAGGGGAGTCTGTTGATCACGCCCCCCACTTATGGAATGTACAAGGTGAGAGGACTTCGCTGGTGAATCTTTTTTTTTTTTAAGTCTATAAGTAATACACAGTACTTATACCTAATCATACCTTTTTAATATGCTTTGGTGGCATATCTGGCAAGTTTGGTCCAGCCATGGCTTGTATTTGGGGCAAGACCAAACAAGTCTGATGTGCCACCCAAGCACCAAAAAAGTTACAGCACGATTAGGTATTTACCATACCCAAATTCAGCCAAGACAAGTGGTCACGATATCATAGCTATATCAGGTCAGTGGTGAGATATTGCAGGATAGCAGAGACAGCTTCTGACTGGTTAATTGCAAATTTGGGTGTGGTAATCATGAAGATCAAGGTCAGTGATGACTGCAAGGTTAAAGATACTGTTAATATGTTTCAGTTAAAAATGCAAAAAATATCAGAAAAAAATGAGTACCAAATGAATTTTTTTCCTCCCTCCTAAACAGGTTCACTTATCTTTTTAAGGCTGGTTTTCTCTAGCTAGTGGCAGAGAGAGTGGTAATCAGAGATGCAGAGCAATACAAACTAATGAAAATCAAACCAACAGAAACGGAGGCAGAACACTGATTCTGCTTATGATTCCACTGCTTCTGATCTACTGAAAACTAGATTCTTGGAGTCGCAAGCAGAAGCTGAAGAATAGACCAATCATAATGCTTGATTCCAGGTATTGTGATTGGTTGGTTCTTCCTCTTCTGCTTCCAACTCCAACAGTCTAGTTATCACTGGATCATAAGTGACAGGGTTATAGGCAGAATCAGAAGGAAATGACAACATTCTGTTTCTTCCAACTCGGATTCCATTGACCTTATGACTCCACTTACACTAATTTTCACTAGGTTGTAAGCATTCTGAATGAGTATACAACTCTGACTGCGACTCTTCCTCTGACTCTGTCACTAGTGAAAACCAGCCTTTATGGGTATGCATTGCCAAGCTTGCTAAATCTCCCAGATTAATGCTGTTTATAGTGGTCAATGCACTTAGCTACGGGTACATGGAGCTTAGTTCACAAGCATGCCACTTCAACTGAGAGAAACAAATATATCAACTAAACATAATACTGTAGGTTTAAAAATCCCAACTGGGGGGAGGCAGACCAGGTGGCTATTTACAAGCATGACCAAGGAGTTGATTGAGGGTCTGCCAAGAAACAATGCCAGCTAATTTGTTAGAGCAGGACTTGAACTGGCGACCTGCGGATTTCAAGTCTGGGGCCCTAACTACTCAGCTATGCTTCCTCTTCCTCCATAATAGTCTGGGGAGTGCCTATGAAGTAAAAAATAATTGCTGCTTATTTGAAAAGCCTATCAAAGTAAAGAAGAATGGCGTTTCCCGTTTCAGAATATCTTTTTTCGTTCTAGAGATATTTATGTTTTTGTATTATGCAAATGAGGAAAGTGATGATGTTATAGGTGGTTCCACTTGAACAGTAAAACACTGAATCAAGAATATCTCTAGAAATATTGGAGCAGTGTNAATGATAACATTATTTTGTGTTATTGATTTTTCGTCATTCTTTTTATTAAAAGCGGCAGTAAGAAATGCATCTAATATACATGTATGACTTTATACAAACGTATGATCTGTAAGCAACTTTCCCTGAGTAATGAATTTCTTATCCTTACCTGTGTTTCCGTTACTTTATCTTAAGATTTTAAGAAGAAATAATCCTCTGAAAGCATGCCTTTCATTCAATCCTTCTTTTGTATTCAATCTTTCGAAAGAGATAAAGACGAAACATATCTAGAGAGACCATTTGCTTTATCTGATTCACTGTTGCAAAGCTGTGATTTTCTCAGTATGTACACCTATCAACCCCTCAGATGCCGTCCGCACTACGCCGGAGAAATTTGAAAACGCAGCTTTCTTTCTACGGTTAGCCCTACAGTTCACACTAATCCGTCTCAAAAACGGGGCTTTTCGGAAACGCTCTTTAAACCGGAGAAATCTGACAACGCCGGCCTTGCGTGTTAGTGTGGACGGAAAACATTCTGAAAACGGAGCTTTTCGAAAACGATCCATCACGATAATCATGTGATTTCCCCGCCCTAGTTTTACTGAAGCACAAATCCAAAAAGACCGCTGATTGTTGCGTTTTCAAATGTCTCTGGTGTAGTGTGGACGGAAAACATTTGATGCGTATTCAGAGTGAAAACACCGTTTTCAAATTTCTCAGGCGTAGTGTGAACGGGGCTTCAGTCACTAAACGCTTCTTTTGGTGCTGTGTCGCCATTAAGGCATGTTTTGGCGTGAGTGAGCATACGGCCATAGACTGCGAGCAGTCTCTCTTTTCCTCGAAAATCCATGGGGAAGAACGCAAAACAAGGAAGCGTGCGAGCGTGACTCATGACTGTGAGCGTGACGTGCGAGTGGTGATGCCGCGAGCTGCTAGTGGCGCGGGCGTCGTAAGACGAGCGAAAAGAGAGTACGTCACGCTCACAGTCACGCTCGCACGCTTACTTGTTTTGCGTTCTTTCCCACTGATTTTCAAGCTCGCAGTCTAATACGGCCATAAATATTCCTCACGTTTTTCTTGTAGTATGCTAGGGAGCTTGTGATCTCATCTTGCAGTGTTTTTCTTGCAGGTTTGGGATGGCAATTGCCCACGAAGACATCATTGCGATATTCAACAAAGTGAAATTTCCTTACAACATCAGTAAGCCTACAGCAGCCATAGCTCACAAGGCTCTGGATAATATACACCTCATGGAGGCTAACGCGAAGAGTATTCTTGAACAAAAACAAAGGATCATCGAGGAATTGAAGAAACTTCCAACAGTGAGAAAGGTAATGATATGCTGATTTCCAGATCTGTCTCCACCAAATACACTTAAGAACAAAAGTAAGAAAAGCTTCAAAGTTTTTTTTTTGTTTAAATTTCCAAAACATTGGGGTTCATTGGCAACTTTTTAAGCTTTTAAGTGTTCTAATTGTTAAAAAACATTAGAGCAAGCAGAATAAAGAGCACTACGTGAAATTAATTGCTCATGAGCTCCTGTGTCAATGCGGACACATAAGGGCTTCGTTCACAGATTCAGTAGGACGTAAACGAAATGAGCACAAATACTTTTTCAGCAGTGAAATGCAGGATATTTCCGCTTTGTGTACAGTCTTGTACAAAAGAGCCCGTTCAAATTTTAACGAATTTTCTCCTGGGAATATGTCCCCACTTATTAGGCATCTGATACACTTAACTATCACAGAACGTCTCTCCATCTTAGAGCCAGTGCAACTGGGCAGTAAAACAAACGGTTATGGTTCGCAGACAAAAAAGGATCTGGAGAGTATAACCCCTAGCGTTCCACTTAGAGGATGTAACGGGCATCCCGGGCACTTCATGTTAAATAAGTACAGGTAATCGTATGAATGCGAGTGATTCTTGCGAGTGCAATTTGAAAGAATTTTCAAATATCACGAGTAGTGTAAATCCTTAATTGCTCGAGCTTTCATTCGATTACTAATTTATTATGTGACTGAGAAAATTGCGAACGAGCGCACGTTAATTTGCCCTGCTGTGCAAATTAAGAATTAACGATAAATTGGCCTGCTCTCAGCCAATTACAATGAAGTAATTTTCTCAGTCATATAAATAATAATAAACCGGAATAAATCACCAATGATTGTTGGGACAGCCTTTCAACTTAGATTTATTGATTTATTTTCGGTTGTCTGTAGATTTTCCCATCGGACAGCAACTTCATCCTACTGAGGATAGATCACGCCCAAAAAATCTACAAGAAAATGGCTTCAGAGAAAGGAGTTGTGATTCGCTACCAAGGCAACAAAATCCACTGTAAAGATTGTGTGAGAATTACTGTTGGTACACCGGAGCAAAATCGCGTCCTCTTAGATACCCTGAAGAAAACAGTGGCTGAAATTGGAGACACTCAAAATGGTTGTATATAAAGCAGGTTCAACGCCGCCACATTGGTGTCCAACATGGCCGCTATGACGTCATAGAACGCTCTTTTAACTTACGCTGGGTCGAATTTCGTTCTGCCACTTGATTGACTGTATTTAAATAGGAGTCTACACGGTCCCTTATTCATAGTTGTAGCCCCGTGTAAGATAATAATTACGACAAAGAGGAGTCGGAATTTTTGGTTTTTCTGGCCAATAATAGCACCGTGTAACCTCAAAAGCATGCTAGTACTAAAAACGAGACACAAACAAACAAACAAACAAAATAAAAACAAACAAAAAAACCAATATTATTTTAACAAGCTAGGTTTCCCGAATTTAAGTAGGTGATATTGTCACTCATGTAAAAAAATTTCAGCTTTTCTGTTTGGTTCTCCTTCACTGTCGCTAGTTCAGAATAACGATATATTTTTTCATGTTCAGTGAATCTGTAAGATTCCATTGAAACTGCTAATTATTGTGTTCCATCTGCAGTTGGCTCTGTTTTTCACCTTCTTTCTGCCATGTTTGAGCTAACCTCACTCAATGCTATGTATGACGAATTTCTTTATTTCCTTCTAGATGAGTTCTTTTGCTCTTGAGGGAAGCTTTCTCATAAAAAAATATGTTGAAATTAAGAAAGTCAGGACGATAATGTCAGTTATAACGTATTCTCATTTAATTGTTCAATAACGCAGGTTTCTCTTTCAAGTTTCTTAGCGTGTATTTCAGTAACAGAAAAACAACAATCAATTTTAATATCGCAACAGGGTTTGGTATTTAATGTTTTTATTTTGTCCGTAGTAGACTTCACGTCTATAAAATCATAGTTTCAAAATAACGACATGTATTGTTTGTGCAATGAAAGCCGTGGTATAACGGCCGAAAGCATGTTTGAATAAAGTTATTTATTCCTTCGTGATCCTCCTCATTCAGGCGAAACTTTTACCACTTTTGCAATCTACAAGTAAGGGTTAAACTGAATAAAAGATGATGAAATTGAAATGTCATCTGAAAGGTGATAGTTAAGTCACATGCAAAGAAGCTCTATAATTATCGCCGTTGCGTTTTAGCCGCTTGCGGGCTTTACGGATCTGTAATTAATTTATGGCTCACTAGTTTCCAGCTCTGGCGATGGGAAGTCATTCACAAGTCCCTGTGTCTTGATATCGAATTAGCGCCCGGAGTGCTTATTTCAAATTTAGGAGAAGACGGGAACGCTTATTCGAGGAGGGCGCTTAATCGAGGG